ACTCCACAGCTCCCTGTGCCTCATGTCAGTGAGACCAGGGCAAAGGAGAGGTAGCTCATTATCAAAGGAGAGGCAACAGGTAGACAGCACTTCCCACCAACCCTTGCTAACAGCCTCCAGGGGAGGGGAAGGGTCCAGCACTTTCCAACACAAGCAACCACCCGCTGGAAGGCTCTCTTCCTGCCTTTTGATCACATAGGCAGGAGAAGAAACGAAACCTAAAAGCTATAAAGGGGCAAAACATCCCCACTCCCTTGGGCACCAGCTCTGGGCTCCCTCCTCTCCAGAGGAGAGTGTGTGTCTCTTTCTCCTGTTACTCTCCGCCCTTGCCTTGGCCTTCATCTTCAGCACTGGGGGGAATGATCCTGACTTTGAAGCCTGGTATCAACACACCACCAGGCAGATGTCCTCGGGCCACTGTTTCCACAGGGAAAAGGAGAAGCAAAACCAGTCCTGCAGTGTCCCTGGCATTGAGATGCCTCCCAAGAAGCCCACTCCAGCCCCCCTCATTAGGAAATACTACAGGAAAGGACATGACTAGACCACCAGGGTCACAGTGGGCAAGGTGACCCGTGTGTGCATCTTGCTCATGCCTACCAGTTCCTGCCAGCTGTGGTGCCAGGTTAGAGAAACCGGGAACCTCACAGCCCAGCATCTCCTGTGAAGCTGAGCTTCAGAGCACAATGGGAATTCCAACCTAGCTTAAGTGTCTAGACTGCTTGTCTCCTTGCCTAGCCTCAGAGCCCTCTCCAATGACCCAAGCAAAGAGATGCCCATCCCTGTGCATTTCAAGAAAATGAAGGGGACAGACCAGCTGGATCCAGGAAGTCACGCAACAGCTTCACTTAGCCAAAAAGCCTCCTCAGTGAGCCCACCCAGGCAAGGAGACTTCTGCCACCATGTATTTCAGAGAAGGAGGAGGCGAGGCCAGCTTGATCCAGGAGGTCAAACTGCTATTCAGTCAAAAGCCTGTACACCTGGGCTCTACCYGGGAGGCAATCCTGGACTGCACAGTTCTAAGGAGCACAGCTTCTGGCCCTGCCCATCCAAAGAAACAACTCAACCTAACCTTGGAGTCCAGCCTGCAGCCCTGCCCAACTGCAGGTCCCAACAGCAAGATGCCCTGCCAGGGAATCTATCCCAGAACCATCTCCGTACCCAGCTCTGCCTCAAAGCAAAGCCCAGCCAACGATCTCACCCAGCATCAGAGSGAAGTTAGTGGCTCAGCCAACTACGGAATTCACCATAGGCTCTGCCTGTTAGGGATTGTCACCAAGTGGTCCTTCCAGGCTCACTAAATGAAGTCTATCCCTGCCACAGAGCACCTGTAAAGGCCAAGACAGGGCAAATGCACAGAMAAAAATGCATGAACATAATAAGGATTATAAGCAATGAGGGAATCGCAATATCTCCTGAAGAAACCAATAAAACACCAATGAATGTGAAAGAAATGGAGGTCTATGACATGATTGAAATTCAGTAATCATTTAATATTGTAACAGATTAAAAATATCTACTGAAAATACAATTAAGTCATGCATGGTGGTGCACACCTGTAATTCCAGTAGCTCGGGAGGCTGAGGCAGGAGGATCTCAAGTTCAAAGCCAGCCTAAGCTACTTAGTGAGGCCCTAAACAGCTTAGAGACCCTGTGGAAAATATAAAAAGGGCTGGGGATGTGGTTCAGTGGTTAAGCTCCCCTGGGCTCCATCTCCAAAAAAAAAAAGGAATAAATTGTAAAGGAGTCATGATGAAGAACTGAATATGCTTTAAATGCCTGCAACTATATATCGTGTCCAAATAAATAAGCTTTTTTTCCATGTGAAACATAAGTAAGTTTGGTGAACTACAAGAATATACAGGTAGAAACAGCTGTTTCTTGCAGTACTGGCAACTGCACTCAGGAACACTCTACCACGTAGMCACGTCCCCAGCAATTTTCATTTCAAGACAGGGTCTTGCTAAGTTGCCCAAGCTGACTCACCATCCAGAAGTTCCAGTCCAAAATCAAGTAGTTTCATTTCTCTATGCCTTTGGTGAGAGTAGCACATCATGCAGGAGCATGTGGTGGAAGAGACCTCTCACCTCATGAACCAGGAAAAGGAGGAAGAGGCCAAGGTCCTATGATGCCACAGTCCATTTTTAGGGGCACTCCCCCAGTGACCTAAGGACTTCCACTGGACCTCACTTATTAAAAGTTCCATCGCCTCCTAATAGCACCACCACTAGGGCCAGGCCTTTAACACATGGCCTTTGGGGACACATCCAAATTCTGGCAGAGGGCAGTAAGTCACACCTGAGTCACCTCCCCTTGGTCTGCACACAGTGGAAAGTGTCTGGGGATACACGTGTAAAGATGAAGACCACCTTCCCACGCCGCCCCCTACACGCCCAGCCCATACCACTCAGGAACACCTGTGCCACCTCCAGGTGTCCCCACCATTGTGATACTCAGGATCTCAACCAGTTGTTTCCTTCCTCCCAAATACATGTCCATAAAAATCTATTTTTAAAATATCCAAAGGACAATGAGGCATTTGCCTGACTTCTTCTGCCCCTTTTCCTTTATTCTACACAGGACCAACATTTAGAGAAAAGGTGTATCTTGCCTGGCTCATGGATCTGGAAGTTCTAGTCRAAAATCAAATGGTTCCATTGTTTTGGGCAAGAGCGACCTATCACATTACCCAAGTAATCTGACTCTCCAGGGCAGGAAGCTGAACTCACACCACTGAACTGTTTACAAATCAATGTGTGTGTGTGAGGTATGTGTGTATATGTGTGTGTGTTGCTCGGGATGAAACACAGGCCCTTACACATGTTAGGCAAGCCCTTTACCACTGAGTTACAATCCCAGCCCTTGTCTTTATTTAAACTGCCGTGTTCCTACGACTAAAACACTCAGGGTCACTCCAGAACTGAGCTGCACGAAATAACCACACAAGAAGCAGAGATACCTTTTCCTTTGGGGTCCTGTGAGGGCTCCTCTGACCTTAAGGGTCCACAGAAAGAGAGCAAGAGAGCACCATGTGCTGAACCCTTTTATTGAGAAGAAGCCATTCAAATGAAGCAAGGGGTCAGGTTTCAGGGGATTGAGTCTAGCTTCCTGATGTCTGCTGTCAACAGGTTGACTGACATCTAGGAAGGCCACACCCAAAGGCAGAGCAAGAGAAGGGGACACCCAATGGGCATTTCCATGGAAACTTCTATCCCAAACAGGGCAAAGGGGTAGTATTACAAAGGAACAGTGCGTGTAGCTCAACTCCATGGGTGACACGCCCACATCTAAAGACACACCCTCAGCCTTCAACTTCCTGGATGGGGACAGCATCCAGGTCACTACAAAATGTAGTGACTGGTCAAAGCCTCTGGCTTCAGGATGGAAGGCGCAAATCATTCAGAATGGCTCCCACATTAAACCATGAATTTGGTACAACTAACTATATGATGAAAGGCAATTCAAATTAGAAACTGTGGAATCATTTCTAATTTAAAGTATTTGCAAGTGTTTGCCATCAACCATCAATCATTTCACTATAGTGGCCACTGTCCATAGAACCTGGGGTCCCAGGAGACCAAAAGCTTAATGAGTCAGTGTTGTGATGGGGCTGCCCAAATTCTCATTTTGTTCTTGGCTACATTAACAGAACTGTATATCCAGAATACGGTACCCTGGTCACATCCCTCACAAAGTTCTAGGCACTGYGGTTTAAGGACGGCCTTGTCAAGCAGCATCCTGTCTGGAGAGCCGGAAGGTGAAGGTACACATTAAAAAAGGTTGTCACATTAAAAAAGGATGAGGGAACTGGGGCCACTTTCAGGCTCGAGGTGGCTCAGCAATAGAACACTTGCCTAGCATGCCCAAATCCCTGGGTTCAGTATCACAAAAAAAGAAAAAAAAGTTTAAGCAAATATCTAAGTACCTGAATTACACACTCAATTCAACCAATGTAAGAGAGAAGTAAGTACCCACCCCCCCTTTTATTGGTACTGAGGACTGAATCCACGGGCACTTTACCACTGAGCTACATCTCTAGTCCCTTTATAAATTTTCTGAGATGGTCTAAGATGCTGAGAGTCTTGCACAATTGTTATAGCTGGCCTCAACCTTGTGATCCTCCTGCCTCAGCTTCCCAAGTTGCCAGGATTAGGTGTGTGCCTCCATGCCTGGCTAGCCTTTCCTTTTTTAAAGAGGGAAAAACTACCTGGTGGTGTGTGACTATAATCCCAGCTACTCAGGAGGCTGAGGCAGGAGGATTGCAAGTTCAAGGCCAACGTGGGCAATTTAGCAAGACCCTGTCTCAAATGAAAAGAGCTGAGGAAGTAGCTCAAAGGTAGAATGTTCCTGGGTTCAATTCCCAGCACTGTAATTAAAAAAACAAACTGTAAAAAAAAAAAAAAAGAAAGAAAGAAAACCAAACAGGGTATAAGGTTACTAGGTTAATTCTCAATAATGAACATATTCAAATAAAGCAAAATAAAATGTGCCAGTATCCAGCCACTGTGTCCAATGCTAGGTAATTCAAGCTCTGGAGAGGTCTTTCAGTTCCACATGTACAGATGAACTACTTAAGCAAAATTTCTTTCTTTTTCTCTTTTTCCTTCTGATAGTTCTTATCTTAGAAATCCTCAGAGATCATTATTAAAACAAATTCCCAGGCAATGTATACCAAAATAACTATCCTTGGTCCTTGTTCAAAATGGGCAATTAAAAAACTTTCACATTTACCTCCTTTTATATTTCCAATATCCTTCTATATTTCTATCCAATCTCCTTCTATATTTCTATCCAATCTCCTTCTATATTTCTATCCAATCTCCTTCTATGTTTCTGACAGCTCTGGTAAAGAAGACACCAAGAAAATGTTATTTATAGTAAAATTTATTTTCACTGATATTTCCTTTTATATAATCTCAGAGTAGGTCTGTGCTGTAAAATGAAAAAAGAACACACATCTGAAATCTCACCATGACACTTTTTCACACTGTTTCAGGACTCCCAAGGTTAACACTTCACATTTTACACCATGATCTCATCACTGAATTGAACCATACAAAGGAGCCAGTATGGTTGTGCTATGTCCTTGCCACCTCTGAAGGGCTGTGACAATAATGACTAATGTTTTCCCCCCAATGAATTCGGTGTTGTTTTGGTTTGATTTTTGAAGTAAAATGTCAGAGCATGTAAATATGCTGCACTTCTTTCCCTCAATACACTGAGAACAGTGGAAGTCTGGAGATTTTTAATTCTTCATGAGTCGAAGCTGGGATGTGACCCTATGGTTCGGGTCTATTCAACATACTAATTCCAAGTTTGGCAACCATCAGCAAACTGTTCAAAAGAAACACAAACAAAAAACATCAGGAAAAGGACAGAACAGGTGACCATTTTTAAGGGACTGGTACTCTGCAGGTCACAGCTCTCCCTCACAGCTGCACAGGAAGGGAGGTACCAAGGTGGAACAATCCTCCCTGGGAAGAAACCAGAAAAAGAAAACAGCACCACACAGCAACACTGCACTTAGGTCTGAGAACAGCATGTGGTTCCAATCCAACTGCCAATAACATGAAGAGATGAAGAAATTGAAGATGAGAGAGATCAAGGCCTCCCAGGTCACAGAGCTAATTAGTGCAAAATCTCCAGTCAGTTTACAGCCCTTGCTTGACAGACAGTATACTACGACCAAAGATGGGGACCATAACTTTTTCTGAATCAGATTTTAAAATTTCCCTTGCCTTCAGGATGTCTTTATTATATATAAGGACTATAATATTTAAGACAGTTGTGTTTGTTTTTGATAATAAAAGTTGATTACAAAACAGAGGAGTCCATCAGAATTTCCTTTTAGCAGTATTTTCAGTATCAAAGAACAAGTATACAACCAAGAAATGTGGAGCCTTGGCTGAAAGCCATGTGGCAGCCACAGTCACAGCTTTACCCTGAGGCTTCTGCACCGTGGGAAGGCACCTAGACCACCAGAGAGCAATTTAAAAGCAAAACCATTTCCATAGTGAATGAAGATCCTCAGACTGTTGTGACATATAAATCAATAACTGCTCTTGAAGCCTGTCCTATTTATGTATGAATTAATTTGAGTTGACATCTAGGATCAGGTAAAATTTACTCAAACATGTAAATTTCTGAATGTATAAAGTAGCTCTGGCAATAAACTGAACAGCGTCCTGGTAAGTAAGAGCAACAGAAGGCAACATACCTGGCCCCTGCGATTAAACCCGCAGGCATGAACTTCCCAGAATGGTAGAATCTCATCCCCATGATGCCAGCCAAGGTTCCAGAGGTAGCTGGTGAAAGAGAGTCAAAAGTCTTTGCATCTTCTAGAAGAGYATTGGAGTGCCAAGAGTCCCACCATGCTTTCAAGCCCTTACTCCATCCTGCACTTCCTCCTCCTGCCTCAGGCGGGGCCAGCTCCATGGCTGCCCACAGTCTAAAGGTCTAGGCACAAATTCTGGCCAAAGAAGACCCTTCACAACCTGGGCCCAGCCTGCCTTTCTGGCCTCAATTTCCCAATACTCTTCTGCAAAACTCACACTTTAGCCATAAATGCCTTAGTTTTGTTCAAAATGTTACAGTATTTTTTTATGCCTTGTGTTTCTTCCCTCTCCATCTTGCTGCTGGGGATCTATCCAAACACCGACAACTGCTAAGCATAGCACTGGGTGCTTGAGAAGACAACCGAATCAACAGGGTCTCTACCCTTTCAGAGAGTCTCAAGTCTGCAGGGGTAACCAGGGTAAAGAATCACACAAGCCAGCCACGAAACAGCCATCGCACACCTGGAACTCCTGCTACTAGGAAGGCTGARGCACAGGGAGCACAACCTCGGCCACTTAACAAGACCTTGTCTCAAAAAAATAAAGGGCTGAGGACGTAGCTCAAAGGTAGAGGGCCTCTGGGTTCAGCCCTCAGTACCCCCCCCACACACACACACACTCAAGAATCATATAAAAAGTAAGTAAAATTTGTATTCTGGGTACAATTAATGCTACACACATAACATAGTGGGGGACCAGGCTTTCAGGGAGCTCAGGCAAGGCAGAGGGAAGAGCACGTCACAGGCACTGTGGGGAGGAGGAACGCGGTGCACTCAAGGAAACAAAAAGTGGCTGTGGCACCCATGAAGACACGGCTAGTGAGGAGGAGGGGCCTGACCACCTGCAGCCCTGAAGGCCACACCAGACTGTGGTCCTCCTCCTAGCAGCAAGCAGCCCTTCAAGGCTATTAAGCAGAGGGACATGTGAGCAGAGGTGTAGCCCCAAAATATAATTCTAGCTGTGTCCAGAGAACAAACCGTAGAGAAACCAGAAGGTAGACACGGGTATCAATGAAGCAACTCCTTCAGGAATGCAGGCAAGAGGTGGGAAGAACTGGGGGTAAGCAGGTAGCCGTGGAGACAGAGTAGGGGACATTTTAGGGTACTGCTGGTATTGATAGGACTTGCCAGTAAATACCAGACAGGCTGTGGGAAGAGAGGAACCAAGACCCAAATGAAGGAAGAGAAGACCTAGTGAGTGAGATCATGCAGCCAGGTGTAGGCAGAGCCCTGAGACAGCTACAGACCACTCAGCCAGCCAGCTGCTCACATGGGAGAACAGCTAGGAGGGAGTCACTGGTGACTCCCTGTGAGTCTTTGGTGGTTATGAACCATCTTGACATTGTCAAGTCAAGAGAGTATGAAGAAGACAAAATGAGCCAGGTCTTAGGAATCAGTATTTAATGGATAGAAAGGAAGAGGGGTACACAGGAGAATGAGAAGATCAAAAGGAAAAATCAGGAACAGAAAATGACAGGTCACACGTGCTGGGAACGGCCAACAGCCCATGTAAAACGAGGACTGACAGTGGAGTCTGCACAAATGCAGGTCACTGGCAGCCTCAGGGATACCTTTCCACGGACAAGGGGGATAAAAATGAAGACTGAAGCAGGTTGACAACGTATGAGATGGAAAGAAATGAAGATGGAGTACAAATGGATTTTTAGAGAAGTTTCTGAAAGAGAAGGAAAAGCCAGCAACTGTAAAGGGAAGTGGGTCACCAGAGGTCCTTTTGCTTTTTTAAATGGGGGAGAGATGAGCACATTTGAGCACCAATAAGAGGGATCCACCAAAAAGGGGGAACACAAATAACAGGAGGGACTCTTGATAGTACACAGTCTGAGGAAAGTAGGGAGGAGATCAGAGCCCAGGTGGAGGGACTGCCCTGGAGAGGAGGGGAACAGGGCAAGGGTGGCCTGGAGGCTCATGGAGGCCACTGGTTTTTCCCTTAAGTAGGTAGGAGGTGAGTGCTGGGAGGGGAGGATGAGATGGAGCAGAGCAGTCAGTCCAGAGCATGAATGAGGAAGCTGTTCAGCAGAGCCGAGCCCAGGCACATCCTCCTTTCCCAGCCTGTCTCCAGCCAGCCATTGCTGAGAAGGGAGCTTCCCAGGGAGATGTGCACAGACCACTGTGTGAACATGCCTGTCCTCCCTCCCACCCTCATAAGGGCCAGAGCAACACCTGATACACTTTGGCTTGTGGAGGCACTCGCACCCTGGCAGTGTCTACACCTGGGTGGAGCCCAACAAATAAGTGTCCAAAGCCACCCTGATAAGTAATCTTCCCTTTCCCCACACTCCTCCCTGCCTGGGCTACTCACAGTTCCACAGTTCTACATCTGTGTCTGACTTCCTTAGATCCGAGAGCTTCCTGAAGGCAAGGCCTTTGTCTTACACAATTAGCCGACCKCTAAAGAGCAAGGCGATTTTCAAATAGGAAAACGCAACATGGATGCAAAGCTAACTCAGACAATTCAATCATGCTCAAGCAGACCGTGGTTAATACCCAGCTGCAATGAGTAATAGATACATACTGCCTTGTGCAAGTTTAAAATTAATCTCTCAGGGAAGACAGACATGAAACGCTCTCCATATTCCATACATGAAAGATAAACAGAAACCAGCACAAATCCCCATTTTAAAATTTGCCTAGGCCTTGGCAGAGGCAGGAAACTTGTGAGTGTGAAGAACCTGCCACATCCCACCAAACCAGGGCCTTCTGGTAAAAGGAAGGGTGGATACAGACATGCTCTATGGAGACATCAGGGCAGACATACCTAGGAAAACCCAAATGTTCCTGGGATCCTGAGACAGCTGATATGCACCCAGGCCTGCTAAACTTCCAAAGAAGAGCCCCGCTGCCAGGGACGGCACACTACCTGGAGGGAAGCAAACACAAGGCTATATTATGATGTCTGGCATTTGGTTCATCTGCCAAATCAACCAGACGCCCCTGGCCTCTAGGGGAGCAGAGCGAAGAGAAGCTTTCTTCACATGGTTCTTAACCAAGGAGACCTTARGCAGGAAAACGTCCATCTTACCAGAGAAGTCAGGGTCTCAAGCCCCATTCTGCTCTCCTTTAACAGTAGGGCTCTTCCAATCTAAGGAGAAATGGTCATCTCCATCCAAGAAAGGATGGATCCCTCCTAGGTGGATCTGTGGTTAGGCTTTTTCTTAACCAGCCAATACGGGCTGATCAACCCACTACAGGCTGTGCACAGGYGGGACTTTATGAGAATCACAAAAGGGTAACAGGGTCAATCAACTATAAACGAGAGAGAATGAGAATGAGAGAACAGGAATCCCAGTGCATGCTTGCSGAGTGGGGACACAGGCAAACAAGCATACTGATACCCCCCCATGTAGATTAATGAGGAGACTTCAAAAATGATTATGTGAGGACTGCAGCTTAGAGGAAGAGTATGTGCCTACCATGAGCCAAGAAAGCCCTGGGTCTGGCCCCAGCACAAAACTTAAAAGAGTAAGTGAAGACCAGAGGTCTCATCCTACTCGAAAGGAGCAGAGATGGCATTCTGGGGTCAAGGCTGATGCATGGCAGACAATGATAATAACAACCCATACCACCCCTGCCTTTATCTTTAGATAAAGATGCAAAAACAAGAGGCCTGGCTCAGCTTGGCCAGATAAACAAAAGGAAAGTACAGAAGTCTGACTCCTTTGGTTGCACGCAAACTTTGGGGCCTAAGGCAAAGTGGCCCCACAACATTGCTGCTTTGAGAGCCTAGGGGCTCACTCTCCTATGAAACAACGAGAAGAATTTAAGCAGCTACGTGACAGTTCTTACCTGCTTTTGCATAGCCAATGATTCCACCAGTAGCGACCAGTGCTGCATAGCCAAAGCCAAAATAATGTAAAGGCACCCTGAAAACAAAGAGGGAGAAATGAGTGTCAACTATGTTTAAAACAAATGAACAACAACAAAAAAAMCCCACGTAAATCATTAAAGTCATGGTTCCAGACAAATCTTACTACTATATAAGTCAAAGTAAAGCTCAGAGAGGTGAATGACTCACGGAGTCAACACAACTAGTCAGTGGCAGTGCTAGGACTCAAATCCAGGCTCCCAACCATGTGTTCAGTGACCSGCTCATACCCCCTACTGCTCTCAGGCAGTCCACTCTAGGGCTCTTTTCAGATGGAACTCTGGTTTTAGAAGGCCCTGGCTATTCCACTGTCGTGGACTGTGCACTTACATTGGGCCAGTGTTCTTCTGCATTGCACTCTCAAGGCAATCAGCCAAGACTACGCCAGGCCTGCACCTGTGAAGAARGGGCTTGGTCAGAGGTGGTTAAAAGCCTGGATCTCCAACAGTCAGAAGGAGGTACAAGTTCCAGCTCAAGATCTTGGTAGCTAAGAATTAACTGGGCCCTCAGGCTACACCTCTCCAAGCCTCAGTTCCAATGAAGATAACAATGGCACTAATTTCCTAAAGCTGTTGTGAGCACTGCACATGTCCGACACACAGTAAACGCTACCTCAATGCCAACCATTTTTGCAACAAGCTCGTTTCTAACAGGCCCACAAGAAAGTGAGCAAGATTCACTGAGAGCTCTGGACAGATACCGGATTTAACCATTTTCATGAGTTAACCATTTTTATTAAATCAGAAAGCAAATACTCTGAGCCTAAAGTTCAACTATTTTTTTTAATCTCTTTAGCGGACAAGTGGGATGCTACTTTTCGTCTCTGCCCTCAAGAACTTCAATACTCAAGGCTTGTAAAACTTGGAAACTTTGATCTAACTCACTGCTCCTTAGACTGTGGGGAGGGGAAGATAAAAGAAGGAAATTCGAGCCATAATTACCTTTTAACGCTGCGCCCTTAAAAAAGTTAACTCCTACCTTTCTTAAACTTTTGGCATTCATGGAGCCTAATCAGACTGAAAGCAACGCATACCCCTCTTGTCCTGTTTAAAGAATTAAGTTTCCACAGAAAGGGGAGGCCTCAGGGTCAGGCCGTGACATGGGTTTRAAGTGGCACTTTTTTAAGAAATGCGGGGGCGGGGGGAATCTCCAGGAAACGAAACAATTCAGCGCTACACAGGTGAGCATTTGCTGCGAGCTCAGGAGACCGGAGGACTCCCAACCCATCTTAAGGAAAGCAGRAAATGCACGAGGAGAAAAGCACCGAGACGCGGCCTAAAGCTCTCGCCAGGATGGTGGGGACGACAAGCAGCTGGCAGCAGAGCGTCTTCCCAAAACTTAAAACTGGAATAAAAAAGAATAATCCCCGAGTACCCGAGCAGCTCTCGCGAAGGTCTGCACCGGCGGACGAGGCGCACGAGCAGCAGGGACAGTCGACGCAGGTCCCAACCAAGGTCTCCGGACGTCGCGGCGCCCGCTAGGCGTCCGGGGGCGGGGTGGGGCGGGGCCTAGGGCGAGTCCCGGGAAGGGGCGGGGCTTGAGGCCAGAACTCTGCGCGCGCGCCGTCTSCCGGAGGCGGGGCAGGGTTTGAAGCCTGAAGTGGCTGCGCGCGCAGTGTTCGGGGACCCCCCCAGAGGGAGGAGTCCAGGGGGAGGAGTCAAGGGGGCGGGGCATGGGCGGGGCATGAAGGCTCTCGCTGTGCTGGGGAGTTGGATTGGAGCTTGGCGAGTTGGGTTTGCGCCGGGCAAGTGAAGGCCAGTACCCAGCTACAAACTATAGTGGACTAAAGCCGGAGACTGGAGACTGAGCGTTTAACACGCGTGTTGCGCCAGGCCAAGTGCGCTGGGCAGGGCTGAAGGTGGAGGCAGGAGAAGAGCATAGAGGCTGGACTCTGAAGGCCCCATTAACGGAGGTGTGATCCAGATGCGGGTATCGGGGAGAACCGATAACCGTGAGGGGCCGCTTTCAACCAGCAGAGAATATGGTGGCCTTGGGCTGAGAAATGAGGCTCGCAGCAGTGTTTCTGTTTGTTTTAGGGAGTGAGGTCACGCAAGAAACCTCTCTAAGAGGGAGACCGAGTAAGTTAAATACATCTGTGGGTCACGAGTCCACAGGATGGCTTTCGMTTTATTCCTACTACAGATTTCCTTCTCTGCGTTTCCTGCACACTCATTCACTCATTTACTGTACACCCAAATTTAGTGTCTTCCATGACTTCTCCCTCCTTCATCCCTTACCATTATTGATATGCATAATCTCATAACCTTCAATTTAAGCATTATCATTTTTGAAGCCTTGAATATGTTGACTTTACAGATTAACAGCTCCCCCCCCAAAAAAAAAAAAATCCAAAACAAGTCCCAAATTGCAATGTTTCAAATTGGTTCATGGCTATCAAGTATCTACAATTTCAATTTCTACATTTTTAGAAGTAGTTTATAGCTTTGTTTGAAAAGCAAAATGATCCATTCAATAAACTTTGCTCCAATAAATTAGTAAAGAGTATGAAAAAAAATCACCTATTTTTTCAATCTACCTGTCTGGCACATGCTTCTTGATCTAATGTTGAAGCCATGTAATATCAGCATATGCACATGCCATGCTAATCTATGCTTTATATAGATTAACTCATTTAATTTTAACACCAACCCTATGCAGTAAGGACTAGGATTAGCTCCTGCTTTTCTTCTTGGAGGAAATTGAGGCAGATAGTACAAAGTCACACTGTTAAATGACAGAGCAGTCCTAACTTCTTTAGTGTGTTTGCAGTAGTGTCCACAGTATTCGTGTTATAAGTCTGACTGTGTCATTCCTGAGCTTAAAACTCTTCAGTAGGTCATTTATCTTATGCCATGGCCTAGGAAGCCCTGAGCATGACTCAGCCCTATCTTCTCTCTCCTTCTTGCTCCTGCTGCCCCAGCCTTCTGGCTCCTGGAGGATTCATCTGCCCAGAATCCTCTCCCCAGGTAACTTCCCTGCTCATTCCCTCATCCACTTTAAATCTCTACTGTCACCTTCTCAGCAGAGCCCCTTCCTGATCGTCTATTAAAAAAAAAAAAAATGCAACTTTGGAAATAAAAGAAAAAATAATAAAAATTAAAATGCTACTTAGGAAATAAAAGAATTTTWAAAAATACTAAAAATAAAAATGCAACTTGAGGGATGGGGTTGTAGCTTAGTAGCAGAGCACGTGTCGAGCTGGCATTTATCCCCAACAACATAAAAACAAACCTTCAACTCAATTGCATTTCCCTCCACAGTATATTTTTCTTCATGGCACAGACTTCCTAACATGCTGACTTACTCATGGCAAAATTCACCTCCCCACTCCATGAGAGGGAAAACTGGTATGCAGCGTTTAATGTAGGGCTTGGCACAGAATGAGTGTTCGATAAACATGCACCAGACAGACAAGGAGATGCAGAGTGAGAAGGGGTAGTCAGCAGAGGGAAGAACCAAGACAACCTGCAAAGACAGGGACAAGAGGGAGAGATTACCCTGGCTGCACCCTCTCCCTGCCTTTTCCTGCTTTAAACTTTTGATACTAAGAAGTCTCTGAAAATAAATAAGTGAGCTACACAAATGGTAGGCAAAAGGTTTTTGGACCTCCTGGAAAAAATTCCCTAACCCACCAGCAACATGTCCAAACAGCCTCTGGGAAAATGTTCACGGCACCTAAAGGGTCAGGGTGTTTTATGATAAAATTTTGAGAAGAAACATAAGTCATTTACATTGAACCCACATTGGCTAGACATAAGAGGGACAGGATAACAAAGTGTGCCAAGTCCTAGGATAGAAGGTTGGTCCATAAAGAATAGTTTTGCTACTCCTTGGTTAGTTCCAAAAGTAGAATGAGATGTGGCCTTGTTGGGCAATATTCAGGATACAGGGGGAAAAAATGTGTAGTAGTGTTTATTTGACTTGAAGCTGTGAGTTAAAATGAMCTTATTTCTCTTCTCCCTGCATTCTCYGTCCTGCAACTTAATTGAGGACATCTCAGAATTCTTAGCACTTCCCTGGTCTTGGTCACACACCTGTGGCTTCTACAGATCCACTGCCACACTTTGTTGAAGTCTAGGATAGCCAGAGGGCTTTAATTTCTTGAGCTGAGTCTTTCAGA